AGTTCATCGAAGCTGGAGCAACTGCACGTACTAAATGATAATAATGTTAAAAGAGAGCATTTTATAATTTGTATAGAGAATTTAAAAGATAAACGTAGAATGGAGAATATTTAACCAATTTAATAAAAAATAAAGGACTATTATATTAAGAATTATTTATAAAATATATTTCTTAGAATATACAAATTATAAAACTGTAATACATAAAACAATAATTATATTTTAAGAAATATTATACTTTTTTTTTAATTAGAGGTTTGTAAAATTTTATCATTAATATATGTGGTGTGCAAAACAAAATCTTATTTTTACTTTGACTTTAATCTCCAATAAATTTAATTGCTTCTTTAATTATAATTGAAGATTTATATATTTTATATCTATATATTATATCTATAATTGTTAATACTAAAGACAAATGTATTTAACTCTTACTATTAATTACATAATATACAATGTAAAAAATTGGTTTATATATCAAAAATAGTAAAGTAAACAAAATGTAAATTAAAATTTATATATTCATTTGAATTTATACTTATAAATTATATTTATAAATTCATTTGAAATTATTCAAAAAATATTTTTTTAAAATCAAATCTATTCAATTATAAAATTTTTAATTTAACGTACCTAATTTTTTAATTAAATTGTTATATTCTTAATAGATTAATTGATACAATACAGTTAATAGAATAATTGCACTAGAATAATGATTGAAGAAATTCTAGGCATGATAAATATTTGACAATAATAATTATATCTCATAAATAGAATTATATCTAATAATAATTAGAATAAAGGTAATTCAAAAGAAATTTTTGTTTGTATTATTATAGGCAATTAAACAATAGATAATTAGATGTCTTAATCAAGAATTGTAAGATCCTTAAAAAAGACAGTTTCGAACCACAATATTATAATGAACACGCAATTGGTTCGCGCTTAACTCAATCTCCTTCCTTCCATTTTTAATTCACTACTCACGTGTTTAACGGAAAATCGATCAGTAGAAGAATCGCTCGTTGTACAAATAATGTTGACCTCTAACATCCCTCTTTTATTTATTATTAATATTAAATACTTTTATTATTTTAATCTTGTCACATTTCTTCTTTCCTATTTGATCAATTAAAAATTTGAAATAAGAGAAACAATATAATTATTTACAAAACTAATCACAATTGAATTAATGATTTTTATTAAAAAATGATCGTTAAGATTATAATTATTTATTACAAGAATTAATTTCTTGAAAACAGTTTTTAATTACATATTATCAACTAAACTATCCTAAGTATTCTTTTACTATATTCAAGTATTACATAACATATAGTAAACAAAAAATCTATATATATATATATATATTTCATTTTCATAAAAATCAATCGTGAAAAATATTGTTATATACGCGTTTTAAGTAATATAATATAGAAATATGAATATATATATATATATATTATTTAGATGAAAAGTTCTAAATAATTCCATTGAATCTGTTTAAAGCTTCCGTCTATTGTAAGTAAGATTATATTCTTTTTAGTTCTTGCAATATAATTTGTCATTTATTTTTTCGACAGTTTTCATTCTTAGTTATACATTATTGTTTAAAATATATTTTACAAAATAATTTTTATATGTATTAAATTGTATTCTTAATTTTTATTATGATTTTTTATTACGTTTGTATTGGTGTAAATAGTTATGTATCTTCATTTTTTATATTTCAATTCGCGTAAATAAAATGTTTGCGTTTATAAAATATTAAATAATTCTATATTCATTTCAGGCAATTTTTCAAAAAATTTATTTATGAGAAATGTACAATTCTAATTACTTATATGTAATAGCTTCTGCTTTAAAATTTGTTAACATATTTTTTAACATAATTAATATCTAATTTGTCTATTTATATTAAATAACAAAGTTTGAAAATATTATAGCAAATGTGATGTAATTAACAACTTGCTAAAGTCTGATGAAAGTAAAATTTAATTTTTAATCCTGATTGTTATAAATTATGAAAAATACTAGATAAAATTATGTCTATATGTTTGTAAATAATATAATTTGTCATGGAAAATTGATGACCTTAAAAATATAATCATACGAAAAAGTAAGAATATCTGTTATCCTATACTTCCTATAAAACGAAATAAATTTATTTTAATAAAATAATTTTTTTAAATGCTTAGAAAACTAAATATTACTAAAATGGTATATTATAATATAAAATTATATATAATAGTAGTTTTATTACTAAGTAATCACTTTAATATAATTAATTGTTAATTTATTATTATTATTATTATTATTATTATTATTATTATTATTATTATTATTAATTTTTGTAAAAATTAAAAGTTTATTAATCTTATTATCAATCATTAATGTATTCAATGCAACTAAAATGAATATAAGAATATATTTAGTTTTCAATATTATGTACAGATAATATTGTTTCTTGAAGCTCAGAAAAAAAAAGTATGTGTTAAAAAATTCGAAAAAGAAGTCGATTTTAAATTAATGACGCTTTAAAGAAAACAAAAAAAAAAAAAAAATAAATAAAAAAAAAAGACAAATGATTAGTCTATAAGATACGTTTAATAAGATTTTCTCTGCTAATAAGCTTATACAACTCACCACCAGACATTTGCTAGGATTCTAGAAAATATGTCGTTTGCATTTATTTGCACATATTACGTATAAAATTATTTTAAATAAAGTTCGATCCGTACCTTATTAAACAATTCTATACTTGTTAAGTGCAACCTTTATAAAATAAAGTTTAAACAGAATTTATAAACAAAATCATCAGTCTATTCGAAATAAAATTTAATATTCAGGAACATTCCGCGATCGTTTTATGAAACTAATGAGATTAAAAATAAAGTCTCTCTTAATCGACAAAAGAATGAAAAATTTACCATTGCTAATATTATCATTCAAAAAAATAGACGGTGCTCCATTCTCTACAAGACGAATCATCTGTAGGTTTCTGCTTTAACCGATAGAGACAAATGTCCCGCGCACTCGGCGGTTCGCGCATGCGATTTCAATAGTAGGAAACTAGTGATACTTGTGAGCTCCTTTTCTCTCTCTTTCTCGCCCGTCGTCAGTCATTTCACGCGAGCTACACAGGGGGCACGCAATCTTAAAGCAGCTACAGCTGCAGCAGTAGTTTCTGCTTCGATGACAAGCTCAGCTTCAGATTTCGGCTCGATTACGACGTTCTCAAGTACTTGTGTTGATTGCGTGAGATAATAACAAGGCAGCCGTTCTTTTATTATAACAGTGAATGTGGGGTAATTGTTCATTCACTAATTGCAAAAGTAATTGATAGTTTTTCTTTCATGGATTAATGTTTAATGAGCGGAAGATCGCCGCTGAATTTGAATATTATAGTATCTGGGGTGAAAAACCGATATGCTATTTGATAATAAAGAATATCGCAATACAAATGATCAAAGGGGTATGTGTTTGCGAAATATTATATTTATATTTTGCAAGTACAAAGGCATGAATATATCATTTTTTTCTGTAATAAAGTCAAATTTTGTCTGTAATAAACATCAAATTCTAACCTCTTTTTTCTTCGTCAATTTTTACGTTTCTTTATCATTACCACTGAATTAATTGTGTATTCTGATTGTTTCTGAACGGATGTAGTATATAGTGGCATCATCAAAAAACAAAATTGTGACTGGCAAATCAAAGGTTTCAATAAGATCATACATTTTCCGTCCAAGAACAAGTATAATTAAAAAATGCATGCAATTGATATATTAATTTGTACAATAATGGAAACAATAAAAAAGAATTGAATTGAAAAATTGAAAAATTAAAAAAACGAATCGATTTATAAATGATTGAAAATACAAATAAAAAATCATAAAAATCTTGTGTAATTGAAAGTTTCATTTATTAATTCATGGTTTAAAAATTAAAACAGCATATTGAATTCTTTTTGACAAAATTTTATATTATTTTTACTATTTTTTTATTATAATATTAAAAAATGATTGAATACATATACACAGTGTCGTATCTAATATACAGATTTTCTTTCTCTTTATTTAATTATTTTATTTAAAATTAAAATAAATATTATAAATGTAAATATGTTTATATCTATTGCTAATAAATTAAGATATTTTTACTTTATTTTTTGTACATAAAACTAATATAGGCACATTATATAATACGTTTCAAGATTATTGAATTTGGTCTATTAGTTTATTTAATTAATTTAAATAATAAATGTAAGGTATTGAATCTTTTGAGTATAATAAAATAGGCTACAGTCTCATTTTAATATTAAAATACCATGGATTAGCTTATCATAACATGTTTCATTTTCTTTTTTTTTATGCTGTTATTATTATATTTTATTCTGCTAGATAAGAATGAACTTTATTATAATATCAAAAATTTTATTTTTTATTTTTTCTGTAAAAATATATAAATAATTATATATTTTTCTTATATGTTATTCTCTTTGGAAACTTTGGATATAATTTATAGGTCACTTAATATTACATTTAAACGTAATTTAGTAATACTAATACTGTGACTAAAATCTAAATATTAAAACATTGTTTACATAATTAAAAAAGTTTATCAACGAAGGTTAAATAAATAATTCCAAATTATATATACTTAAATATAAACATTGTAGTCGAATAAATTTTTAAGAATTTTTAGAAATACTATTTTACAATATCATTTTTTTTATACATTTTTAACTTTTTACCGAAAAAAGTTTATTTTTTTGACGTTTATAAAATAAATTTGAATTTTTGTAGATATAAGGTGTTATATGCAGTATCGAACTTATTCTTAAAAAGCAAATAATGTATTATAGATTATTTTAAAAAATATGGAGTTCACTTAATTTAATATAGTGCTCTTTTTACACCAACAAAAATTTCATGTGTTTAATTATAAGAAATTCGATTTGGTGACTGCTCTACACTAAAACTTTTTCATTTTGTGAGAAGAATACACGATGAAAAAGTCAATAAGTAAAGGAAGCTGAAATGAAGAGTAATATAAGGAGCTTATCCTGCCCACTATCGTACACTTTTTAATAAGGAATCACGCCCGAGACTCATTGTGAGTACAGTTATATCACTTCCGTTGTATAACCTTCTTTTTCTCTTATTTTGTATTATATAAGTTAAGTATATAATAGATGTTCTGTTTATTTGTATTTATAAGATATTTTTATTATTGATAATATATATTGTTAAAACAAATTAATTATATTTTTGTTTCCAATATAATTTACTGCTCTAATTATATTGTACAATAACTCATTATAATTCATCAAATGATAAAAACTTAAAAAATTTAGAATTTTTAACGAAAAATGAATTAAAACTATCTTTTAATATTAAATTATAATTTAATTAATTATTATTTGAAACTAAATTATAGAAGTTAAATAGCATATTTTCATAATTTTAAGAAATAATGTTATTTCCAGTCAAAAATAAGTAATAATTAAAATTTTAAAGCTTTTTGATTTATTTTATTTTTTACATTAAATATATGATATTTACATATTATATATTAAAGCAAGCAATTAAAACAAATTTTATTTTTGACAATTAAGTTTATTTAATATTATTATAAAATATTTATTCTTAAAAACATTACAAAGCATAAAAATAAATAATAATTGTTATAATTAGTACAAATTTATATTTTGATGATTAATAGTGATTTTTATAATACTTATTACAATTTTCATTTGCATTTAACAGCTATATATATAGATTTACATTTATTTATGGTAGAAATTATATAAATTCAAAATTTTCAGTCATGTTTTTTTATACTTACTTTTTTTATATATAATACTTTGTAAACATTACTTATATATATATATATATATATAGAGAAAGAGAGAGAGAGAGAGAGAGATATTTATTTATTTATATACTCATATTTATATATATAAATACCTTCTTAAATATAATATTTAAATACTTTTTATTATAATTACATTATAAATAATTACAACTAATTTAAATTAAAAATCATAAAATTATTTTGCTTCGATAAAAATTATATACAAACAAACTAGTATTAAAAAATTGTTAAAACTTCAAAAATATCTTGGTATTGCTCATATTATCTATATTTAAATAATAATTTTGAATTATGATGTATGCGTATTTGTATTATTTATTTATCTGATTTTAAAATGTTTATTTGAACTATTTTTTCAATATTTATTAAACATATATAGAAACATTAAAATATTCTAATTACAATACATCGTTATATTTCTTATATCAAAAGTTTATATTCAAATAGCTATTAAAAATAGAAACTTTTTATTAATGAAGATTTAAAATTCATTAAATACTACAACATAAAATGTAGACAGCAATAACTTTTCAATGAATTATTTTCATAATTTATAATTGAACACCAGATCATTTAAGTTTAAAATAATATTAGTTAGGCAATAGAATTCTATAAAATAATCTCATATGCATTAAGTATCATTAATTTTGGTAGTTGTATCTAATATATAAATTTGTAATCATTTAAGATCAAAATTCTTGAACCAATGTTATCATGTAATATGTTATCTGTGTCAAAATTGTTTAGAATATTTGTGATTGTTATAAGAATATCCAAAAATTTACACGATATATTTTATCAGTTTTATAAATATTTTATATAAATATTTAATATATTTTTCTTTTAAATATAAAAATATTTGTTGTTATTGAAATATGTTTTATATAAGAAATATGTAATAGTTAATCATTAAATGCATATAGTTTTCTTTTTGGATGTTAAATTTATTAATAATTTACGTTAAACTTACGAATGGACACATGTCAGCAAGTAAACAAACTATAACAATTTTTAAGAAACTAATAACTTTGTTACAAATGATATAAAAATTACAATATTTCTTAATATTATTGATATTTTAACACTTTGATTATTTGATTTGATTATTGATATTTTAACAATAAAATTTATTAATATTGTATGTTTTTTAATAATGATAATGGATAGTTTATTACTAGTAATCAAAGACCTGCAAATCCTTTAAAAAATTGCATACATAATAGTTTGATCATATTTTATAACAGAAAATATTTTTTATTGAATGAGTAGTCGAGTAGATATATTAATACTATCACAGATAAAAAATTAATTAATAAAATTTACTTGAAGATCGTTTATCTAAAATTTATTTAAAAATTTAATCCAGCCTCTATTACAAATAATAAAGATAAGTTTGTAATATTTAATATTGTAAAAATTATATGCATACAAATTTACATATATACTTTATATATTAGTATAGTTGAATTATGAAGTTGAATGATACAACTTCGATTACTGTGAACTGAGGAAACAAAATGCTTAAAAGAGAACTTTCAAAAATTCCTCGTGACTCTTTCTTATATTTGCTAATTTTTCAAATAAGAAAATATTTTTTAATAATATATAAAACTTAATATATAAAATATATAAATATATATAAAACTTCTAAAGAAAAAGTAAATAAAATATTATTTAATTTGAATTTCACACTCAATAAAATAACATTTAGTATAGTGTAATCATTTTTCTAGATCTCATCTCTATTTAATAAATTACACAAAAATATGCATTCGTTCCAGTTATTTTTATTTTTAATATTTACATATTTATTTTAAAAAAATTTGAAGTAATAAATTAAAATTATTTTTGTAATTCTATTAAGTTAATTTTCTTGTATATTATAACTTCAATTACAATTATGATAAGATATATTTAGTTGATCCAATAGTAGATTTGCCAATACTACCATATATATACAGCAGATATAGTAAATCACAATTAATATTAATTATTTTTTAAAGACAGTTATTATACAATTGTTAAAAATCAATAAAAATTCATGATACTTTTTCTATTGCTATTAAGAATTTAATTATTATTATTATTATTTAAAAAATAGAAAATATTGTTTGAGGTAATAGAAAACTATTTTAATTGGAACAAATTTCGTTTACTATTGAAAAATTTTATTAAAAAAAAAATTCGTAATAAAATAAAGCATTACCCTATCAGTAATTCATACAAAATTATTTTAAAGAAATTTTAACGGTGTTTTTAGTATTTTACGAAAAAAAAAAAAAAATATATATATAATCATTTAAAAAATATTATTTTAAATAGTAAGTAGGTTCTCAGTCCAATAAAGTAATGCTTTCAATTTATTGAATACTTACTTCGCATGTAAAACTGCTTGGCTGCATAAATCTTATTAAGTAGTGGTAGCTCCTTGTTTGTTGATTGATGGTTGTTAAATAATAGAAGCTTCACAATGAATATTGACGTCCATTTAAATGTATATATAACATCAAACTTAAAGTCCAAGCAATTGTGATGTCAATTTATATTTCTTATTGATTTTAGTTTTTTTTGCATAATTTGAATTTAAAATAGTATAAATTATTTTAATTTGTCACTGAAATTCCAGTAACTATCAAGTGTAATGCTTAAATTTATAAAATAAAATTTAATATCTACCTTTTATTTTATTTAATGTTATAATTGTTAAATTTCATTACATTCTGTTATGTAATGTTTATATTTAATCAAACTTTTCAATCTCAAATAAATAACATTAGATTAAGGGAAATTGTAGTAAAATTATAATGATACAGTTTTTATCACTGATGAATATATTAAGAAAAATTGTATACATAAGGTTAGTTAAATAAATAATTATTAATTATTAACTAATAAATAAGTAAATAATTAATAAAGCGGGTTAAGTTCTTGTAAGTAGGGTGTTGCGTGTAGAATGAGAACAAATGTTCCAGTTAAAGGAAGTATAATATAAAGAGCTCGCATGCGTCAGTTGATGGGCTTCGTTGGTAAATCTATCAGAGTGGACTCGTCTCTTTTACCAACTTTACAAGGTCTTAAGCTTATTAGACGACTCAAGCAGTATACGATGAAATTTGTCAAGTGTAGCAGCAAATTAGATGTCTTAAATTGTTACATTAATTTTCTCTAATAAAATTTATTATGCTATTATAATTATCTAAACATTTAGAATTTCTTTTTATGTGGTACTAAAGTATGTGTAAAAAGGATTATATTTTGCAATTTAAAAAAATGAAAATAACAAAATTAATCAAAAATACAAAAGACAAATACAATAAATCCAAGAAAGTAGATGAAATAATTAAGTAGGAAAACTTTAAAAAGGAAAGATCAAATAGAAATGTTAACAAAATATTGTTAAAAAAAGTAAATGTATTTTGCATAATTTATAATTATGATATATTCATGATATGAAAAAATAAGTCATTCATAAAGTTGAAACTATTACAAAAAATTAAGTATAAAAAGAGAAAATAAAAAAAAAATAAAAAATTAATTATTCCAGAAATGAAAAAAATGAGGATAAATCAACGATAAAAGTAAAATTTATATATATACATGAATGCCAGTTCAATGTGATCTAATGGAACAAAAAATGAGATACTGCAACGTAAAAAAAATGTTCTAAAATACTTTAGAATTAATTTGAATCATCAAAAAGTAAGAATATATGCAGAAAAAAAAACTTGTATATAAATATAATATTAATAATAGTATTTTAATATTCAAGGAAAATAAAAGTAAAAACCTTACAATATGAAAGATAAGATTTATAAAAAATAGTGTAAAAAACAGAAGTAGGATTTGTGAAAGCGAAAATGTAAATTAATGTAAATAGAACATCTTAAAGTTAAGATGAACTCCAGAAAATTAAAATTTACTAAATTTAAGAAGAGAAAAGAAAATAATAACAGAATATTCTTATAAGAAAATATATTTATTCAAAGTCTTCAAATATTAAGAATTAAGTAATTTAACGAGTTTTTGATTGAAAATTAATCGTAGAAAGAGTTATGTACCAATTACATCAAAATTTCAAATTGAAATAAGTAAAATGTATCTAAATAAAGAAAAATTTAAGGATATATTGTATTTAAAATGCAAAAAGAAATGACAGTTATAAAATGTGAAAAATATTCTATTAATTTTATTAATACAGACATAATATTGTTAATAATTTTAAAACAAGTAAAGAAAAAGATAAAAATGAAAAAAAGGACCATAAAAAAAATGTTACAATTACAAAAGTTATAGGAAAAAATAATAATTCATAAATACATAAATGTATAATTTTGACGTGATAAATGCATGTGGTAAAGGGAAAAAGTTAATACAATAGATTATGAAGAAATAATAAATAAATCGTGTTAATAGAAGGAAGATAAAGAAATACGGAATCCCAAAGTCACAAAATGGATATAAATCTTAATTAACTATATATTATACCAGTTAAATGAAATTTGTAAAAATACAAGCAATAAGTACTATAAATAATTTTAATTTCAACATAAAAAAGGTAGAGAAAGATATTAAGATTATAGAGATAACTAAGAGATTAAAACAATTCAGGAAAACAATGTTAGATAAAGATATATAGGTAATAAGGTAAGAAATAAATTTTTTATACAAAAAAAATGCAATTTTTAACAGAATAATTTCGAAAACGATAAAAATACGTTATAAATTATTCATTAAATAATAAAACAAAAATCAATATTATGTTAGAGATTAAAAAGGATTATGTGGACAAAGTATTTGCATAAATATCAAATAAAAATTAAATAGAATGCTAAATAATTAGTAATAAGCAAAACAAGTAATCATAAGAAATAAAATATTTTATGAATGACTTTCTAAATGTATTATTTACAAATTGCAATCAAATGTTGTATTAAAGCGCAATGAAACTTAACAAAATAAAAAAAAAATGTATGTAAAATAATTGTTAAAAATGTTGGGCATATAGTGATTTCATCTATTTCATTTGATGTATATCTGTTAAATTATTAAAAAATATTCACAAATGAAAAAAAAAACTAATAAACAATAACAAAAATGAAAGAATCATTTACATACAATATGTCACGGTATAATATATTATAAATACAAATCGAAAATACTTTTTAAAAAGCTCAAAAATAAAAATGAAAATAAAAGTAATAATGGAGAATAGAATAAAAAATATGAAAAATAAATAAAAACAAAATGTCTTGTTTACGTAGCACAAAAAATTATTAGATAATATAGGTATGTAAGGAATTAAAATTCAAAATTCAGTTCACGGATGTTATTAAAGTAGGTTAATATACATAATTTTATTTATAATATATACAAACATAATGAACTAAATATAAGGATAATATAATATACATCCATAGATTAGAAAGAAATAATACCCATTTGATATTAATTAATGATTATTTGAAAAATTATTAAATTTGACTCAACATATTAGAAAATTAAAATACCACAGTTTATATTACTAGTTTTTCTCTAATATATAATTACTATCATGGAAAATATAATATTTTTGTATCGCATTGTATTTGCAATAAACAATTCAAACATTTCCTAAATAAAATGAAAAAAAAATTTGTCATTTATTATCATGTTTATGATATTGAAGGTTCTAAATAAAGAAAAATCTTAATAAGTCTTTAGCTAATTCTTATATATTTTATTAATATATAATAATTTATAAAAAAAATTGATTTATTTATATAATTGCTAATTATATAAAGGTAAATTTAAAATACAATAAACATAATTATGTAATATCGAAATGAAATTGTTAGAAACAATAATATTTAGAATGAAGATGATGATGTTGATATTGATTTTAAATCAATTTTACAAAATAATACAGAACTTTAAACTATAGAAATATGTAATTTATAATTAACTTAAATTTTTAATTATTACGTTTACACATAAAGTAACAAGATATGTAAACTATTTCGATAATAATTAATTTTTGTAATAATGATAATTTGAATTGGGATTGAATGTGAATATGGGCATCACTTAGTCCCTATTATAGTACAGGAAATAACAATTATTTATTATTCATAATTATTTTATATGTTTAAAAACGTATTAAATTAAATCCGAAAAGTAAAAATCTTTCACATTTTACGAATTCTTTTAACAAATTGATTTATAGTAAAAACTAGCTTCCATTTTTTATGAATTTTTATTTCGAACGTATTAAATTTAACATAAAGGAAAGATAAAAAATGCAAGATTAAAAATAAAGTTTAAAAAATTATACAATAGAATTTTTTAATACTTTTATATTCATATTAATTAATATTCATATTCTATGTAGATTTCACATATATAACTTATATATTATTTAATAGTTTTATAAATTTTAGATTTGCTTAATCATTTTTTATTGTTTGATTTGTTAAGAGAAGTAGTGATCAATAGAAGAGGAGGCCATCAAGATGTTGATTAAAGAATATCGAATACCTCTTCCACTTACCGTGGAAGAGTACAGAATTGCTCAACTGTACATGATAGCCGTAAGTTTCTTGTAATTTTTATTATTATTATATATTCATAAATTGTAAGTATTGTAATTATAGTTTGATTATAAATTATATATACATCATACATAATTTATGTAGTTAATGAGATATAATAAGATGTATAACAAATTTTTGTTATCATAATCATTCATAAACGATCACTTATCTATGTATTTATTTTTATTGAATAAATTAAATTTCAATCATACTGAAAATCCTAGTAATTAATCAAATTTGCCATTATTAATTTAATAAACAATTAAAACTATTATTTATTAATTAATATGAATAATTTGTTCGACTTATAATTCAATAACTTATAAAAATATAATGTTCTCTTAAAAAAAAAAAGTAGTATAAAAAGTTTCGAGACTACGCACTTAATCTGTTTTTAATGAACTTCTTTCAACACAACTAATTTTATTTATTTTGTAATACTTATTAATTGATCCTTTTATTTTATAAAATATTGATCATTTTATTCAATAGGAAACAATTTAAATCTAAAAATTGACTAATGAAAGAGGAAGAAACTTCAGAAGTTGACAACGCAAATTAATTTAAAATAAAAGTGGTTTGTAAAAATCAAGTCGTAATTTTCATATTTTCAATTAGAAAAATATTCATAATTTGATTTATCCTTTTTATTTGTTAGGGGACTTCGAATTTACACTTTCCCACTTATTTTCGATTTTTTTTATTTACTATCATGCTTTTTCTTTTTTTTCCTTTAACAACATTTTATTAAATATTTTTACAATAAATCATTATATTTTTCAACGAAGGTTAATATTAATAAATGATTATATTTAACTTTTATTTGATTCGAATAAAACAGTCAGTCAGTCAATTAATGAAATTGTAATAATTATTTGTAATAATTATTTGGTTAATATTCTGTTAATGCACAAATATATATATATATATATATATTATGTTTATATACATATATTATCGGAGTAATGAATTATGCTTATTTAGAAATAAATAGAATTTTTCGGTTGTAATCTAACTATTGTTATAGTGTATGTTGTAAATGTTATAAATCCTAAGGTAAATTATTTTTAATAAGTTATCTTTTGTTTTTTGATAATAAAAATTTGCCAAAAGTTCTCGTTAGATCATTCAGTTACAAGTATATAAGCTTACCATACGTACAACATGATTGAATATTGACGCGCAATAAATCTGAATAATTATTTACACAGTTTATTTGTAATAAATGTATGGAAACAGAAGATTTTATAAAAGTTTTCTATAAAATTGATTCTTTCAAAAATAGTATAAGTTATTGTTTACTTCTATTGCGCGATTTTAAATACACTATTGAAAAAGAAAAACGTGCATAAAGATAAATAATACAATTTTTAACAATTAAGGTTAATAAATATATTCCTTTAAAAATGTGAAGAGAATCTTTTATGATTTGTTTATCTATGTCATTATTATTAATTTTTACTTCAATTTTTGGGATTTTAATAAAATGGATTTTGTTTATAATGGTTGAAAGAATGTTTTTTTTCTATTATTAATGAACTTCGTTAATACAAATACGATAATTCTCTTCTGTGAAACATTAGTAACATTTATATTTATATAATGTAGGGTCTTTATAGAACTGCATTTGAAATGAAATCAAGAAATTACTAAAGAGATTATATTTTTATTAGAAATAAATTAATAAAATCTTTTTATTCAAATAAAAATATTAAATAAATATAAATACAATATTTTAAATACTTTTTATACCTGCATTAAAGTGATCATAATTTTCATATGGAATTATGCAGTTATTCACTCATTATTTTTTCTCCATATTACGCGTGTGTGCGTGGGAGAATGCGTATGCTGCATATAAATTACAGAATTTTTCGGCATTAGTCACAGGTGAATGAAATAACCCATAAAATTCGAAATATAATTTTAAGAATATAAGAAATGTACAATTATTTAGACAAAATAAAATTTCCGACAAATCTAAGATAGTTCAACAATCGCATGCTAGCGAGATGATATCTTATTTAAAAAATATATTTACAATAGATGAAAATGAGCTTGAATGTATAATAGATTAAATTTGAAAGTTATATAGCATTTTATTTTAGAAAATGAATTTCAAATAACGCATAAATAATATTTAAGTAATATTTAAATAACTATTTTCCAGATTCTAATTTTCTGATTCTAAAAATTAAGATTTTTATAATTTTTAGAAAAAGTCGCGAGAAGAGAGTAAAGGTGCGGGTAGCGGCGTTGAGATAATTGTCAACGAGCCTTACGCAGATGGTCCCGGTGGTAATGGACAATATACCCATAAAATTTACCACGTGGGTAGTCACTTACCCGGTTGGTTCAAAAGTCTCCTACCCAAATCAGCTCTTATGGTTAAGGAGGAAGCATGGAATGCCTATCCTTATACGAAGACCCGCTATACTTGCCCCTTTGTCGAGAAATTCTCTGTTGAGATAGAAACTTACTATTTTCCAGATAATGGGCATCAAGAGAATGTCTTTAAACTCAGTGGTAGTGACCTTAGAAATCGAGTCACAGGTTTGTGTACACGTAAATATATTATTTATTTATAATAGATTATTACTATCATGTGCATTTTAACGTAAAATAAAAATGTAATTGTTTAATAAATTAATTAATATGCTAAATCAACAATTAATCCGAAGATAATATCTTTTAATATACCTGTGACTTTTCAGTTACAAATTATTTTATTAAAAAAAACTCTACCTTTTCTATTAAATATTTTTTAATCAAACATAAAAGATTATTTTAATTAAGAGAGTATTTTTATCCACTTTTCGTTTAGATGTAATTGATATTGTAAAGGATCAGTTAACCGGTGCTGATTATATTAAAGAAGAAGATCCGGTATTATATATCTCTGAAAAAACTGGCAGAGGTCCATTAACAGACAATTGGCTTGAAGACTTTTGGGCCGACGTCAAAGTTAGTTTCTTTATTATTTGATTATTTTTGAATATTAGACATTTGATTGTATTAGGATAGTCTTTATAATAATAATGATATATCTATTATATAGGTTATACAATATTATGAAATACTCCAATTATAATTAAAATGATATTGTATTTACTAATAAGAAAATAATTTCACTATTTACAATAAGTGTATTCTATCGTTTTAAAATTTATAAGATAAAAATGTCCTTTTTATCGTCAAAAATACATAATATCACTAATTAATAATCAGAATAAAAGATTGATTTATTAATATGTAAAATTTTTCAATTTTCTCGATTGTTTTTTTATTAAATAATAGAAAAAATTATTTGATTTTAAATATTTTTATATGTATAACTTATAATACTATTAAGTAATGTTCATAGTGTAATATAAGAGATTAAATAAATATTGTTTGTTTTCCATGCTTTATAGGGAAAACTTCAACCTACTTCTTCAGGAAAGTCATTAATGTGCGCTTACAAACTGTGCCGTGTTGAGTTTCGTTATTGGGGCATGCAGACGAAGCTTGAAAAGTTTATCCAGGATATAGGTAGGATAGAGAGTGTGCGGGAAAGCGAGAGAGAGAGAGAGAGAGAGAGAGAGAGAGAGAGAGAGAGATTAAAAAGAATTATTTATTAGAAAATTTTAACTTATTAATTAATGGCTTAAATAATTATATATACGGGCTATAAAAATGCATAGTACATAAATATTAAAATAAAATGTAAAGTAAGAACTCATTTAGTAAAATCGTAGTAAAGTCATATAGATTTTATAGACATTTGGCAAAGTTATTTGAAAATTAATTATAATTGATGAAGATACAGTTTAATCTTATTTTTTCGATTGGATTCTATCATTTGTACTTATATCAATTTTACATTTACTTTTGCGACGCATTAATTTAGACATAGATGTTATTTAATCGTAAAACGATTTTAAATATATCAAGCTTTGAGAAAAACAATGGTACGTGCTCATCGTCAGGCTTGGGCCTGGCAAGACGAATGGGATGGTCTGACCATGGAGGATATTCGAGAAATCGAGCGTCAAACACAGCTAACACTGCAGGCTAAAATGGGCTTGACTGAATCAAATGAGAATCTTGTCGATGGCAAATCCCAAGATGCTGACAAAGTGAATGCGACAATCACGTCCCAGGATTCGGTACAAGTAGCTAAGACACTGGCTGCAACGCTCGGTAGCATCGAAAAGAATGAGGATCTACAAAGTCCAACTGCACTTCGTAAGCCATCGGATATTCCTATCATCAATACAGCAATGAGCTCCGAGGGTGAGGCCAGTTTTGAGGATTCTCCTACTGAAGTGCTGTCATCAAGGTACGTGAATATTTAAAATTTCTACTTTATTATTTGAATCGAATCTTCGTCTTATTTAATATATATATTCATCTTAAACTTTTATAAATCTTTAAATATAGAAATCGCCTTATGATTTTCTTACACTCTTTCATACTAGTATATAAATTATCGTAACATAATTAAATTTATTCATACAGTAATAAATAATAATTCTTTAAATACGTAAAAAACGATCAACAGAAATTAATTGATTATC